TAACTAATTGTTCAAATGTCTAACACGTGAACTGTGTATGGGTCAGCTTGTGTCAATAATGCTGGTAAGAATAAATCCATATTTGCTTTTATATTGTCATTATATTTATTGATTGAAATGGGTGATTATATATGATTATATACGTCAATGTCAATATTTAATAGTATGATAATTCATTTGGTTGATGCATACAATAAATAACTAAACTGCTCTTAAATCAAGAATAGATGGAAATCTAATTGATAGATTAATGCACTTTGAGTTGGCTTAAGTCAAGGTGCATGTTTGCATTATTCAAAATTATTATTATTATTATTATTATTATTATTATTATTATTATTATTATTATTATTATTATTATTATTATTATTACTAGTACGGAGCCCGTGCGATGCACGGGACAGAGACATTAAGTAAGTCATTTACATAGTGTTTGTTCGTTTAAGTTTAATATAAATTTGATTTTAGTATTTATATTTATTCTTTCATATAAGAATTAAAAAATTTACTTATTCTTGATACCCAAACCATCAGCACCCAAAACTTCAGCAGCACAAAGTCTTGCACAATACAAACCCTAGAATATTCACGAAAGAACACACGAAAATACACTCTGTATTTTCTCATCCTTCCTGCTCTCTTTTCTTGTTTTTGCAAGTACAAACAACACTTATTTAATTTTTTTTTTTTCTTACACTCACATCACACACACACACTACTCTTGTTTTTCACTATTACTCACAAAGCACACATGTACATTCACAAAGCATGCACAACGCACTCACATCTCACACAAGCACTACACTCGGTTTTATTTTCTCACCCACATAAAGCGCACACAAAGCACAATTTATTTATTTTTTCACCCCTTCACACATAGTGCACACACTTTTCTTCACTCATAGCATCAAAGCCCATTTTCTAAAACCTTCAGCACACCCCCGCATGTAATATTCAAAAGGTTGATAAATAGGAGGAAAAACATGAGAAAATCAATCAAGCCGATTTCGTGGGATTTTGAATTTGAAAAACACTTATCTCACCTAAGGAGGAGTGTTTAATCTGTTAGTTATGAATATATTCAAGATCAGTTTTAAAAATATGTATGAAATTCCCAAAGTAGCATGACATCATTCTTATGAGTGAGATTTAAAAATAAAATAGGTTGGAAATAAATCATGTTCATAAA